ATACTCCTTGGAAAGGAAATCCTTGGTACCCCATGTCGGACTCGAACCGACTAAAACCGCACGCCGTCTCGGGTACTAATAGCCGGGGAACCAGGTATACCCTAGAAAGGAAGTCCCTGGTGCCCCGACATACCTCGGGTCATCTACAGACGAGTAGACGACCCCCCCCGTGTGGGAACCAAATGTTCCCTGGAAGCGAGCGCGCTTCGCAACGCGCTCGCCGCCACCCCCGGCCTGCTTCTGCTAGGGTGACAGATGGCCTCACCTGTCACCCCCAGGCCTGCGCTTAAGGAGGACGGAGGTCGTTCTGCGACCTCCGGCGCCTGAGTCGTCTGCGGTACCGGGCCCGTTCCCGGGCCTGGCGGGCCGGGAGAGTCCTAAACCTCTCCCGGTCCCGCTCCGCCGTCTCCTTCGCGAGCATAACTTGCTCGCAGAAGGAGACGGCAGAGTTCCACGCACTCTTCGCTCCGCACGATAGCCGCAATCAGGCTATCGAGCGAGAGAACTCCCACTCCGATGGCCGCCACCAACCGTATTTACCCTAAGATGATTCTTGTCGATCTATACTTAATCAAAGCTGTTAATTGTTAGTTAATAGTAGTTTGCAATGCTTTTGAGAAAATACCAACATGTCATCATCATCAACAGCCTTTAATATTCCACTGCTGGACATAGGCCTTTCCTTAAAGGCGGTATTCAACATGTGCGTGCATTCATTTGAAATAATCAGTGTAATCACCAACTGGTCGGTGGCAGATTTTTCGGTTGATAATCAGTACGTACGCAGGTAACATGATTTCGCAGGTACGTCGTTAATCAGTTACGATATGATGCAACGTTTGATGATGATCAAAAACAAATATCTTTTACGTCAGAACGTTAATTTCCAATGAATTTCATAGGAAGAAATCAATATCAAAGTCATTTAACATATTTCAATGAATTCAATTATAATAAATTTGAAATGACAGGAATATGTGTAGGTAGAAAGAGGCAACTAGCTTAGTTACCTGTTAGATTACTTAGATCCTATGGAGAAAAAAAGAAAAGAACGCTCAAAGATCAAAATAATATCAGACCGTATAAACTTTACTGTTACTCAAGACTAAGCGTTATGAGCATTTCAAATTGTGTTCCTAATAATTGCGACTACTCTACACACACTCGTGAGACGGTTTTATACGTCTCCTGTTCTTCCCACATCCCTAATCTGACCACTGAATCTGACTACACAAGTCTTATTAATTTAACTATATAATTTTGCTTAACTATTATTTTGTAGATGTTGCTTATATACTGCCAGTATATTCTGGCTATCTGTAAGATCTCGCAGACTGCGATAAGACCGGTCATTGCATTGTTTCTTTATATTCTTTTGTTTGGTGTGCAATAAAGAGTATCTATTTCCTAACAGTAACTGACAATAAAACCTATTCAAATAATGACGTTGTTGGTATTCGGTAATGTTAACTAAGAAGTAAATAAATTGCCCCTAATAAGCGTTAGCAAGGGAAGCCCGATGCCCTGTGAATACTGTGCCTATGTCTTGTCCTAATTAACTTTTTCGTCGGTATAATCATGTAGCCTAATTTGTAACATACTGATGAATATAACTATTCAACTTTTAGTTAAATAATCATTGAATATGCAGTCACCCAATGTTATAATATTATGTGATACACATATTGTGTGATATATAATTAGTGAGGGTAATAATTAATGAATATATTAGGTATAAAGAATAGTGCCTACGTGAATGATGAAATATCATTCACGTGGGCCCTGCTATTTATATGAATTATCGCCGTAATCACGGTGAGCGATAAGTAATGCGGCTTTTACTAGGCATAATAAGTCAATGAGTTTTTAAAATAGATAAAATCACAAACTAAGTACTATCTAAGTACCTACTAAACCCTTGTGACGCTTGAGTTGCTGTACTTAAAGCGAAACGCTGGAACAGGCATCAGACCCTATCAAGTTTTGCAAAATTTTGCATTTTTTCAGTTGTGCACATAATGGGACTACAGGCAACATTCAATATCAAGAAACTACTCTGTATCGAATTCCTTATTACTCCACTGGTTTGCAGTGACTACTGTAAGACTAGTACGTGTTTATTTGGTACTCCTGCTAAAAGGTTACTACAGAAATAAGATAAAATTCTTTTGTATCCCCATTTATTCTTATTTTTTCCTTTTTCTTTATCAAACTATCAATTGTTTTATTCGACATGAAGCTAACGCAGTCATTGGTACAGATTTCTCTGGTATTAACGACCTAGAGAGTTAATTATAGGTCAGAGGCGGATTAAGTATCAAGAGCACCTTAGGCAAGCATTACATCGGCGCCTCCTGCATCTCTCTATGTCCATACTATATTTTTTTAATAGCTACTAGTTGACGTTACTAAATGTGTGATAGTGATAACTCCAAATTTTAGTATGCATTTCTTTACTATAACTTTTTTATTTTAATTTTTTATGTGTGGAAACCCCCATGGGCTATCACCACACCGGTTTGCGTGGGGCGGTGTATCAGAATAGAACCGACTAAAATGCTAACAGCTTTTATGAAGACGTCCGGACACCTCCTAGTGCCAACCCATCAAAAGCACGAGCATCGCCTTCATTGAAAAATTCTCATTTAGAAGACGTCCGCTATACAAGGACGTCACTTACGTTGGCTTTCGTGGCGAGTGGAGGGGAAAAAATCCAACCACATTCAGAGCGGTATGAGGCGCTGGAAGGCGAGCCTCCGTCTCTTCTTCCTCTCGAGCCCTCTCCGCCCTCCGACGCCCTCGCAAAAGAATGCGACTGCAGTAAACATCTGCTACCAGTCATGGAACGTATAACGGCTGGTAGTGAGAAACCCTCTCCGATCACTGTAATGAGCGCCTGACGCTACATCGATCAGTGTGTGCCGAGCCGACTTCTTACTGCAGTCGCAATGGTGATAGGCGCAACTCAGTTCACTGCTAGCGATCGACTGCTGTTACTACCCTAAGCAGGCGTGCCCTGTGTCAGTAGAAAGAAAAGAACCACCCTGCCCACTCGACGATGACCGGCTGGAACGTCTTCACGCCAAAGCCAGTACGTGTAGTCTCCAGCCAGGACGACGAGTTTCATTGCCGCCTCTAAATCCTATGGGAGAGTTCCGCCACCACCCTCTGAGGGCGCTAGAATTTTCGTAAGAATCAGAGAAGGAAAGTAAAGAAGTAGTGGCAATTACGTAATATAAACCCTAGATATTAACCTTAAATATCTCTATAGAATTAAAGAATTGTTTATACGAGTATTGTGCAAGTATATGCAAGCTTACTGACACATTTTTTTTTCATGTTAGGCATATATTATTTCTTTGTTGCAAAATTCTGCGCGCTCGCCCCTTTGAAACCTCGCGCCCTTGCCTTCTTTGAAGGCACTTGCCTGCTTTGCCTTATGGATAATCCGCCACTGTTTTAGGTACTGATAAACAAAACCTAAGTTAACCAATACTATTTTAGACTTAGCAAGCAAATCCCTTTTGTTCACGCTTTATTATCAAATTCATTTTTTAATACGCATTTAAGTACATATGTTTGATCTACTAACATTGATTGATAATCTAAACTTGATTACTTTAATGAGTCATTTTATGATGAGTCACCATTTCATATTTTTTCAACTTCAATAATGAGTGCATTGTTTTGTTGTTGTTATTTTGTTTTGATATAATTTATTTAGATATCCAACTGATTTATTTTATTTATCTTTACACAAACAATTAAGACTTGTTCTTCCTTTTTTTACATGTAGAAGCCTCCTCGGGCTGTCACCCCACCGGGGTTTGCAGCGGGGTGGTGTGTCAGAACCCGGATTTATTTATTTATTTATTCAGTAACAATAAAAATTGTGTTTGAATTCTTACATGATAACTTAAATTTATATCATCATCATCATCAACAGCCTTTAATAGTCCACTGCTGGACATAAGCCTCTCCTGAGAAAGGAGGTTTTGGCCTACTATACCACGCTGGCCAGACGGGTTGGTAAAGGGGTTTGTGTCAAGTTTTCCTTCTCTCTGCAGTGCTGTAAATTTATATACCTAATACAAATAGACAAAAATAAAAACAAAAACATGCATCAAATAAAAAAAAAACAAACAAAGTTGTGGTTAGGAACTTTGAAGCGGTCTCCCTGTTGATTATGTACAATATGAATGTCGATTAACAACTGGCTGAGGTTCAATTTATACGATGCGCAATTTTTTCCACATCCTTGTGTGTATGTATGGATGTATGTTACTGCCTATATTAAACAAATAAGGAAGTTTATTATTTACTACTCCAACTGTTTTTTTAATATATATTATAAACATCTAGTGGTACGTTGTTCGTGGTCGCACTCCTCCGAAACGGTTCCACCAACATTAATGTTTCGTCGTCGGTCGTAAAGTATTTTTCACCCTCCTATTCCCAACCCCATTTTTTAGTCACGATCTGATTTCTTTGATAATTTATATGGCAGGATAACGTTTGGTGGGTTCTTAGATTTACTATAAAAAACGCAAAGTAAGGAATTACACCACAATTTAATACACATTATTAACAATGCTCTTAAATTTTCAGAAGTTTGAAAGGAATCAACTTACAAAAATATATAACATTTATCGAGACAATGATCCTCATAAAAGCTTGTTTTAAAAAAAAGTTTATATCATGCGTCTTCTAAAATTTTAATATCGTCTCTTACACGCCTCATGTGGCCAAAAGCTACCAGAAAAAAAATCATTCTGCTACACATTACATTATTGTATTTTGTAAGGCATTTAGAATGAAGTTCTAATGGTGTATAGGGTTACGCTCTTACTATGGTAGGGATATAAGTTTTGGCTGTGAGTTATATTGTCATTAATAATTTCGAAGACAGTTTATTGAAATAATTAATATATTTATTATTTGAATACAATAACAATGTAACACGAATAATACAACAATACACTAGATATGTAATTAAGCTATTATAGTAAACGATATCCTACATGATTTCTAAATCCGAGATTCAATAAGCGGTTACTTAGCGACACCCGTTTAATACTTGAGAGCTTGGCTATGAAGTCCTGAGCTGCTCCTTCTACGGATGGCTGAAGCAGGCATGAAGCATGTGTTCGGTTGGAAGTGCTGCGGCATTGGGTCTGAATAGGTTGCATTTGGTTGATATTGCCTATTAGGTCCAATGCAAGGTCTTGGCACAACGCAGAAATTATGATTGCCAATATTTCTACCGTTTTTGAAGGCTGTTGGGCTCTGCATTCTGCAAAATGAACGATGAGGAGTTAATTCTATTCGCAAGTACTTTTACACTATCAAGATAAAACAGAGATAGTAATAGATAATAATTTAAGTCTTTGTTGATGTAAATATCCTTTAACATTTTCCTTAGAAACGAAAAGATACAATTCTTATAGTTAAGGTCACACCGATAAGGTAACTCTAACCCCAAACTAGGTGTTCCTGTAATCCAAACTATTATCATATAATATTTTCATATGTTACCTCTTTAGATACTAACTTAGTATGTGGGTTGGTATGGAGAAAAAACGTTGATTCACTTCACACAATTCTTCAAGAGGACTTGCAATCGATTATATTATTGTAGTACAAACACCGCCTGTTTATATACCTCATGTTATCGGATTACTTCTACTTACTCCATATATCTTTTTCAGTCAGTGGGTTACCTGCTTTTAATATCAATGACTTTTTAATCTTTAAAAATCACATTTGCTTTTGTTTTATTTTCTTTCTTATATTACATATATTTTTTTGTAATTCTAACGAGTAGCCTCTGCTACATTAAATACAATGTAAAATAGTTTACATTAAACGTAAGTTTGTGATCAGTAAGTAAATAATACTTAAGAGAAGCTAACTAGAATATTAGATAGAGGATATCACATATGAGGAATATTAGAAAAGTATACTCTAGATACTGGAGACGCTAAATAGAACTACAACAACTTAATATTAAAGTTAAAAAAGCTCTTTTGTTTGATTATATAGCTTTTAAACGCACATATCTCTGGGACCATCAATACGATTTGAATATTTCATTGTGTATTGGATAGACTACTTATGCTTCGGTTGGATCAATTCGATCGGAGTAATTCTACGTCGTCGCTGAAAATATGTTTTAAGCGATCCTTGCGTTTCATTTCATCGATTGAATGAGATTGACGGAGGTGCAATCTCAACCCCCTAGTTCAATCACTTGGGGCTGGCTGGCCGGCCGGCACTTGGGAATCCTTAGTTTCACTGATAGGTCTTTGTCCGACTGTAACATACTATTGTTATAAAAGGAGGTAACCGATTGACTGAGTCACATAAGTACCTAACGTAAATACTATAATCTGATAAAACCACTCGTATAAATAGACTGCGACAGTTTTCATTCAGCTACACGATTGAGTGACCTACCAACGATTCAACTTGAAAAAGAGTAGTTGCTGTTACTTGTAAATTCTACTCAGTTAAGAAGTAGGTATCTTAAATAAGAATACAGATATTTGTTCCAAAATAACCTTTTTTTACATTACAATAGATATAATTATAAGTATAGTACTTATAAAATGTGCCTCCCTTAGAAGAAGTAGATTTGGTAATGATGGTTTTCGCATGAACTCTTGTTTGAGCGAACTTCAGTTCAGTGGACAAACTTAATCGGACGATGGGGTTTATAAATCATACATACTTAAGCCCTGACCGTATTGTCGATGATATTATTTTAATTATTTGTGTATATAACGCTTGCTTTATTTGACAGAATGCAGAATCCAACAGCTTTCTTCAGTGAAAGGAAAAACCAGAACCTTTGCATCGCTCCGAAACCTTGTGTCGGACCTTACAAACCAAAAATGCCGCATGTCAGCTATGCTGCCCCGACTCAACAGCGATTCCAACCGAATACGTGCTTTATGCCCGCTTCAGCCATCCGCATGATGAGTAATAATTACACTGGTACGCGGATTTACCCTAAAAAGTACTAAAACTCTTCTATATTAGATTTTCAAATATTTAAAAATCGAATCTCGGATAATAGTCATTCCTTTAGTTAGTCTTAACTCTACTAATTGTTTGTATTTTATTTTTAATGTGTAATATATTACTTTTATGTTTATTTAATATGAAGAACGTAATTTGTACTAACGCTTTTTTAGTAATACGAGTATAATATGAAAACTTGATGTATCTCACACACGGCACGATCCCAAACTCTGCAGAGCCAATATGTAACCATAATCTAAATAAATTGTTTTGAATTTGTATTAATAGTTTTTAATTTTATATATCCATGTACTCACGCCTGTTCCATGAAGGGATACCTAAACAGAAGCATATTCATCATCATCATCATCTCAGCCTTTAATAGTCCACTGCTGAACATAGGCCTCTTATCAGAAAGGAGGTTTTGTTTAGGTTTTGTCAGACGGGTTATTATAGGGTTTGTTTCAAGTTTTCCTTCTCTTCACAGTGCTGTTATCCTGCAAAGCTTGCTTCCTTAGTCGGCTCTTAGTCGTAAGAGCGGTGTCTCCACAGGATGACTAGATGAATACGAATCTTCTTATTTTTAATCACACACGGAATTATAGAAGCAAATTAAACGATTATAATTTTAGTCCCACACACGTAATAGGGGAGGAACTTTAGAATCAGATGGAGAAATTGGAAGATAATTGAAAGGAAAGATAGGTAACGAAAAAGTAGGAAAGGAACCTCAAGCATGTCAGGGTCGCTTACCTGTACCTGGAACTCGACTAAAGACTGTACTTCAGTATGTTACATACTATATCTTAACGTGTGGTAACAGAGTGTCACCATCCCTATTCATCCCGTGGATGTCGTCAGAGGCAACTAAGGGAGCACATTATGCACATATTAAAGGCTGTTGATGATGACGATGAACCTGTTAACAGAGACCTCTACCGTATAATGAACCCAAATGTTGCATTTGTATGTTTGATAATGGAAATATTTTAAACATACATAGGGAAAGGCTGGCTAATAAAGAGCGTACTCTTACGTTTGTGACTCCTGAGTTGCCCGTCAGGTGGTCAGGTGACCCGTCTGCTCGTCTGCCCCTATAACATAAAACAAATTTCAATAAACCAAAAGGAGTAAAACACATGGTACTATCCTCCGAAAAAGTTCCGATCACTAAGTTATTTACTATAGAATTATTATGTATTGTAATGGTACACTTAGAACTCAAATCCAGCACCAATTAACAAATAGATAATAGATTTTCAAAGCGCAAGTGGGCTTATCCAAGGCAAACCTAGCCACGAACAGTTACAGATGAGGCGACGGGAGTTGGTAAGACGTGGAGCGTGGTTAGATATGAGGCTCGGCACTGGTCATGATGGAAACTTGCTGTGGACACCCTCTGCCAAATCCAGGGTACTTTCTTTTATTGCTTCTTTAATGTGATTACTTTAAATAAATAATACACTACTATCTATGCTAACAAGAGGAGTTTTGAGGTAAGGTGTTATTTGTAAACACCTGGCCAAAAGATAGTAACCGAAGCATCGATAGAGTCGTTAACCCCCACAATTTACTATCGGCATTTCTTTTGAGAAATTTATCAATATTAGTACTTATAAAGAATAATGGGATCCATAATTTTTTATTCAATTGATTTAAAAATGTCATAAGTTAAGTAAAATTTAGTATAGTATACCTAAGGAGGCAAACTAGCAGATGGGTCACCTGATTATTAAGTAACTACAGCTGCATGTGGACACTTGCACTAAAGAGTTACAAGTGCAAAATAATTAATATCTTAAGGGAAAGCAATAAGAGTTGCCTAATACCGGTTTTCTGTGAGGCCGTGGAATCACTCTGGTCGAGTCTGGTCTGGCTCATTTGTGCCGAAGCATGGCGCTCCTAGAGCTAAATTTTAATCGAGCCTTAAAATGGGTAAGGCAAGACAAATAAAGTATTAATTAATTCGCGTCCATACTACTTGTATATTGGTGTTGGCACAATTTGGTGTTGTAATTATTACCAACTTTAAATTTCTATAAGTAATGGCAACTCAAATATACTGTAATTATATGGCAAAAATCGGCCATAACTTCTTTCCTTTTCTCTGTTAACCACCGATCGAAGACCGCCAAACGAGTTCAAATTATACTGCACTATTTATCGGACTATTCCAGGTCGGAATAGATAGAAAGACATAAGATTATGTAATAAAGTATGATCATGTTAGCAAAGTATTTTATTAATTCACAAACACAAACACACAAATTTATTGCATCATGTCAGACATCATAAAACTATATAGGACAATTCTTGTTAAAAATTGTAATCAACAAAAACATCAGGTAAAACACTACAGGTAAAATGTGGATTTAAATAATCTTAGATAACAATCTATTATCTAGTATTAAAGATAACATTACAAATGTCTATGTTTTATTTAGATTAAAGAAATCAAGATGAGCAAGAGGAAATTTGATGCGTTCAATAGCGCCTTACACATACAGTACCGCAACTATAAGCAGATAGTAAAATTAAAAAGTGATCAGTTGAAAATCCGGAATGTTATTCATTTTACTTATTTTCTAAAAAAATCCTAAAATACTAAAACGGTACAATACCGCATGAAACACTAACAAACATAGACATATGAATAATACAGAGTAACAAAAAGATAAGAAGATTATACAGTGGTCATTTAAAAAAAAGACTACTACCACCGTTCTTGAATCCCACCTCATCACTTTTTTAAATACAATGACAACGGCAACGATCAAGTATGCTATCATTTATCACTAAATAAATTTACAAAATTATAAATTGTAATTATGGTTAGGGGCTGCCACAAGGGACATGATAGAATTCTCTTTTTCTCTGATGTCAAACACTTGACATTAACCGTGTAGTTTTCTTAAATAAAGCTAGTTGTGACAGTTAATGAAAATAAAAACACCCATTGGTGAGTTAAGTATTATTGGGCCCTTAGTATAGAAATTACTATTTAATTTACTTTTTATTCTCGCATCCAGATTATAATTAACCAAATCTCAGTTCCACAATTCATGCGATCACAAACCTGAGATACCAAATCACTCAAATATGGCCAGTGTAAAGCCTCCTTGTAGCCAAGCTTGAGACATTGGTCATAGGTACACGAAGTTATTTCCTTAAATATAATTAGTACCTAAAAAACTAAATTCTCGGTAATTAATGATATCTTTGTACCTTTATCTAAAGCCGTGTCTAATAAATAAACTGTCAATATTACAACACGTGTAGTAAGTTTTAAAGGAAGTAATTAGTCATCTGCTTCTGATATGCATCGACAAGAATGACGTCGGTCGACTATTCATAGATCAGTACGAGTATTACACATATTGGTAATGATAAAGCCGAAAAGTTTTTCGTTTGCTTATAACTTTAATCGTGTTCATCTCGGAAGAAACTAGGTACATTTAGATTTACTAGGCAGAGTATTCATGAAGAAAGGCTCTTTGCTGAGCACCAAAGCAGTGACAGTGATGAACGCAGGAAAATCTGCGAAAAATGGGTAGTTATATAACATTTTTTTTTAAGAGATGTACTGATTAGATACTAAAGACATTGTTATATACATGAATAATGAATATATAACCTCTTTTTGTACCTGACTAGCCATACAGTAGTATGAAACCACTATGATGAAGATACATGTGAATTTACAATTGATTTGTTGTATTTGTAGTATTTGTTGTGTATGTAGTTGTATAGCTACAAATTAGTCACGTTGGTAATAGACACAAAAAATATAACTTTATTGGAATTGATCAAATCGGATGTCAAGGGAGAGATGATAAATTAATTGTTGCAAATATATATAGTATTGAAATATTATTTTTATTATAACTATATATACTGGAGATAATGCATGATTATTACTTACTTTACTAAAAACAGGTCATGTTAACTGACTAAATAAAATTCATATAACTATTTACAAAGGTGAAAACTTGTAATGAACTTAAGATGTGACCAATGCATTTACATATTAATTTACTTTGGTTCTAAGTTAAGAAAGGAAAAGAAAACCTTTCCTTTCTGAGGCTACTTCAAAATATGTCATCATCATCATCAACAGCCTTTAATAGTTCACTGCTGGACATCAGCCTCTCCTTAGAAAGGAGAAAAAAATAATAATCTCTCTTCAAAATATGTATGGGTCCGATTTTTTTAAGAAACTACGAATACGAAGCATGTCCATATGGAAACATGTGATAGTCTATTAAGAGTTTAAAAGATTTTTTATTGTAAACGTTAAGGCAATGTCACTCAAGATTAATTGCATGACGTCATTACAGTTACAGCTTTTTATGTCAGTGATATGCAGAGTCGAAGCACAAGTTAAACATAAATACAGAATATTTTTATTCTTTTTTTTTTTTTAAATACAACTCCTGATACAATCAAGATATGTAAAATCATTTTCTATATGTCTTGTTCAAGAAATGTTACTAATATTATGTTGCCAAGATATATCTATCCTGACTAAATACCTATACCTACCTCAGTTGTTGAATAAAGAAAGTACTGTAGTACCAGTCAGTCAATACAGACTACTATTCTTATTACAACTCTGTACTAGAAATATGCCTCTATACGAGAAGTATGTCAAATACTGCGGTCTGGTAAAAATGTAAAACAATCAAGCTTCTAAGAAAAAGCATTATCGCACTAAAAACATTTTCATGTAAGATAATTCATTTTCCACGCGGACAAAGTCGGCAGCTCGTCTATGATATGTATTTATTTAGAAATATATACGTATTTTTATAACCTAGCTCTACCTGCTTTGGGATCAGACAGTCAGAAAACCGCGTGTGACATGTCTGAAGTTATTATTATTATAGATCGAATACTACTTTGCACTTTATTGTACCGTGATTAACAACTAAAATCATATCTCGGATATTTCCTAAATCCTTATCATTAAAATCATATCATCGTAAAATAGGAAATTACGTTTCAGAAGCTTTCATCGATTACTCTTTCGAGATAAATTCAGATCTTTTATCTTATTGGATAGTACGTATATAAGTATCAGTTTAACGAAAGAATATTCAAAAACGGTCACCGTGGTCATGTAACATAGAGTTTGTTATTTTACTACGAACACCAAATAAATCAGGTAGATTTTTATTTTTTTTTATC